TAAATTATATTATGGTTAGAAATTGATAGAACTTAATTACTTGTTCATCATTATTAGAATTTTAAAACAGTGATTATAAAAAAAACTATGAAACGATATGTTGATAATTATATGTCCAAATCTAAAAGAAAGAGGTCTTATTCATTTAATCATTAGCTGATCTGGCTTTATTCAAACTATTTGCAATTTATATTATATATGTTTGCATGATTGAAACTTTTTAACTAGTAGAAAAAAAAAGAGTGATTCCGACGTTATCTACAACGTAACGATAGTAGTAATGCCTGCTGCATCTGATTAGTAGAGACCACTCCTTCCGTACTTTTCGCCCCTATATTCTAGTGTATGTATTCTTGAAATCATTACCGTTAGACAAAAATTAAAAAAATAATAATGTATTATTCGTTTAGTTTTCTAAATAACTGATATTGATGAAATTAGTGAGTAATAAATAAATTTTGAATAGTTCATTTATGTCTATTGTGGTAATTTTAAAAACTACCAATTTTTTAACACAACATTGATATGTTCAACAATTTGAGTCATTACTCCATTCATTCTTAAAAAGCAGTACTTACCTAGTTAATATAAGTGATTCATCGATTTCTTACTGAATATTTTAGTAAATAACTTAATATTAATACCAATTAATGTATTGTCAGTAAGTAACACGTAAATACTTATTCAATATTTTATTCTTTATTAGAGAGTAATAATTTAATAGTTTTTCAACGTTATATTCTGTGATTGAGTTTCAATGAAAATTTTATTAATCGTTTTTATATTAGGCTCGATGTAAAACCTGTATTTTTAAGATCTTGCAGTTTCGAAGTCTCTGATCCAAGAAAACGGGACATCTTTCCATACGATGGACATGTGCACGCAACAGGTTCCGTTAACTCATGATGATAATATACCAAGATGTAACTTTAGTTAGTCTCCACTTGGAGAATCCAGAGGATAAATGTCCTTTCACCTGTTAGCTGCTATCTTTTTTATGTACTTTTATCATGACTTGCAAGAAAACAAAAATTTTTCTAGAAATTAAATAGTGAAAATATTATTAAAACATTAAATATCAAAGTATAACGGTCATTCTCCAATCTTAAAGTAATTTTGGTTTTTTCTTATGCTGAGAATATCGGTCAAATCTCATACCAGCATTCCAATTCTTCGTTACTTCCTGGTGGTCTTATTTCTTGTTATGATACGTAAAATCGATCTCTATAAATTATTATTACTTCACATTGAAGGTTTATCTTCAAAGAATCATCTCAGTGATCTTACAAATGATATTTACATATAATAAAATGGTACAACGTTTATTTCTCTATACTTTCTTTGGTCATTTTTGCTGATAGAGTTTATTAGAATGTAATAGAAATTAAAATAATAATATAACACGAGATAGAATGGTAAAAGACCTCTTTATTTAAAAGTGAAATATGTTTTATCATGTACTGAAAGACCACTGTCTGTTTAATTATTTTAATGATACATAGATATTATTAATTTTACATTTTTATACATATAAGCATAAATGCCTGATAAAATTGATTAATTAGTCATAACAAGATAAATAAAATAATAATTATTTATATCAGTTAACAAAAAAGTTTGTTTTTTTACATTTTTAACTGGGTGAAGAAGCAAAGACTGGGTCCAAATATGCAACAATAATAGTAAAACAAGTCCGCACCTCCTCGACCATTAATAGATTGAAAGGCTTGGAGCATGAACTCTATTTTAGATACAAGACATAACTCTCGAGGTGCAGGGGTCACGCACCTTTGTTATTTTGTTGAGTTTGACTTAAAATATTTTATTTTTATCATTTTTAAGTGCCTCTTATTTCAGGTTCAAGTATTTATTTTTTTTAAGTTATTTTTTGTCAACTCACATTAATGAAAAATTACTAATTGAGTATTTCGAAATAATTTTATAATTTAGCTGCCCTAATCCAACAAATTAAATATTACAAAGCTAATTTGAAAATTGTTGCAGCAAATAATATTATATTAGCTATAGGTCATATTAGCCTACCTGTAGCGGAGTAAAGTATGTTTTTGTTCTCACAACACGTTGCTCGATACCGTTAAGCATTTAACATAACTTACATCCATCAGTATAGCAACTTGAAAAAGAATTTTCTCCAATGTAATCGAATCTCTTTTTTTATTTCGCTTCGTCATTCGTGAGTAGTTGTAGTGACGGTTGCAGAAGACAATTACTATAAATAAATATTATTATAAATACTGTTGTGATGACAGTAATCTAATGTGTCTATCAGTCATCACCCTTTTTTGATTTTGAAAATTAAAGTATAATAAAAGAATGAATAACAATAATAATTGTAATAATGAAATAAACAAGATAAAGAGAATAAAGCCATGTTCTCAATTCATGTTCTCTAAAAATAAAATATCACTGCAAATCTAAATTACGAAGAATAAAATAATTATATTTTTGAATGAAAAAACAAAATTTACTGAGTAACAATGTTGGGGTATTAAGGTATTCATAATGGTAACTACTAATCAATGAACATAGACTGATTTTTATTATTTTATTTTCAAAAAATCTTTTTTAATTAAAAATTAATGGAATATGTACGTAATAATTAGTATTATAATCGAGCATTTTAACTTATGTTAAGTAAATAACATATATAATTATTCAAAAAAATTGGCTTCATTCGATTAACAAATTACTCAAAGATGATCTTTTTAAAAAATAAAGTAAGATTATGCTCGATCAAAGAATCATGCTTAATCGCTCTATGTATTTTTATGGGGTATGCGATATTTCGGTATACTAAATATGTGAAGTGATTGAGTACTATTTCTTCATCGAGTATGGAGTCCCTAATATGAGTCAAATAAGATATCTTATTTTATTTTCTCAAAATGAAAAAATTCACATATAATTGATAAACAATCTTAATGATATATAGAATTATATAAAATTTAAATTGAATCGATGCTCAGTATGATCTGCTGTCAAGAATTCTCTTAAATTACTATACAATTGTAGTAATTAAAATTTTTGAGAAGCTGCATGTGTAGCAAGTGATATGAATTAGTCGATATTTGAAACAAACGTGCAGCCAGTCATATTTTTTTTTCTTGGTCTTTTAATAGACCACATGATGTTGTTTATTGAAGAGTGTGATATTAATATTTAAAAAATCATTATTTTACTAATTATGAGAATTTTTTTAATTATTGCATTTTTCATTCAATACTTTTGTAATTATATAACTGTTAAAGTTTATACATTTATTTTTTTTCATGACTATGATCTTAAAGTGTTTGTTGTTACATTTGCATTTTCTATAACAGCATTTTGAATCATTTCTATTTCTTTAACCACTAGATGATCCAGTTGATATTTTTATTTTTTTAAAAAGTAAGTAAATAATAAAAGATAACGGAAACACTATCCTATTAGATTTAAAACAAAGTATCATTTTCATAATATTCGTTAAAAATATATATGAAACAGATGTCATCATGCTCTCTTTTTAACTACATAGACGATAAAAAGTCTACAGTTTTTCATGCAAACTATCATAAATTATAAGATAACTTCATTTTTCTTTTGAGTTTAATAATAAAACTTCAATGAAAAAGTTTAAATACTAAAATTAAATAAATAAAGTGATTTGATTAGCTTATTGCGAAGAAAGTTTTGGAGTTTAATTATTAATAAAAATTAATCATATGTAGATCGTTTTTATGAATTAAAACTATAATTGGAATTATCAATATAAAACTATTATCGTAATAATGCAGCAAAAGAATAATTATGATACAAAAAAACTAGTATAGATTACTATTTAAAATAAATTCGTATCCATCAAAAAATGTACAATATTGTGAAGCATCCTAAAAGTTATAACAACTGTGTAACTCCTGTGTCAAAACTGATAAATGAGAACAGTATTTAGTTGATTTGATAATTTCAAATTTTCGTCACCACTATAAATCATATTCACGCCACATATGACTTAAATTTATTCGATTTTTGTGGGTACAGTAAATACGTCAATGTTGGTACATTGAATAACAAATAATTGTATTCAATTCATTATCTTTTCCATCATTATTATCAATTAGTTCTTTTAAACCAATTTTCATATTCATTTTCCTAACAATTGGTGGTTAAATAATATTTTAGTCCTTAATATTTAATGAAAACTGTATCGTAATAACAGATATTTTCAAGTATTGATTTAAATCAGAAGTAATTAGATACGATAATGAATTTTATTCTGAAATATTTAAAGATACTTCGAAGCAAGTAAAATTCTGATGAACTTATCTTTTTTTTCATTTTTAAATATATTTGAAAATGAAAAAAAAAGATTTTTAAAAGTCATTTAATGTTAAAAACTTCTAAACTTCTAATGAGTCATAGGAATATAGGAAGATATATTTTTCAGCTGTGACGCAATGAGTATATGGTACATAAACACACTATTATATAACCGCTGAATAATAGCAGTGTGTCAATTCACATACACACATTGTTTACAAGCTTAGTAAAGATTAAGAAAGTATTGAATCTGAAGCATGAAACTGACGTTAAAATTAGCAAAACGATTAGATATTGTATTTGAATTTATAATATTCTGGGAAAATCGTACGTTAATATTAATGATCAAATTTTAAATTGTCTTAATAGAATTCGTATCGATGAAAATTTTCAACTATCCCGAAATAATAACAATCTTATTTATTACTTCTCTTGGTTGACTTATGTAGGAACAAATCAATTATAAGAAAAAAATTGAATTCAATTTTTATTAAAATTCATTCAATTTGAGTTGCATTTTTTAAATTACAAAGAAAATAAGTGCTTGGTATACTTTTTATATCTTTATAACAATAAAACGATTTTCAATCCTTCAATCTGTAGTTAATAAATACAGAAGACTAACTTATACATCAATAGAATGTCTATTTCGAATTATTTAATAATTATTTTATATGTTTTAGTTTCTTCAAAATTTGGGAAAAGTGGACAGAACAGCAGATGATATTTTTGATGAACATCTTCAAAACTTTACAAGACAACAAAATGCAGCAAATAGACTTCAAAAAGAATTCAATAATTACATTAGGTGTGTTAGAGGTAAGTTATTAGATTAAATCGTTGTGTATAAAATCACAAATGAAAAAAAAATTATTCACTACATACTTATAATTATACTTATTCATAAATCTTCCAAGCTATTCACATACCAATTTATGACATTTTATTCATCAAAGGGCGAATTACTATTTTAAGCAATTATATTTATCTATATGAATGCTTTCACTTGATATTATGACGGTTATTATCTGATTGCAGCTGTTCAAGCAGCTTCCAAGACTCTTATGGACTCCCTAAATGAAATATACGAGAGTCAATGGACAGGACATGATTTACTCTACGTTCAGGCACAAAATTTAGATATGTTATGGCAGGATTTTACTCATAAACTTGCGGACCAAGTGCTAGTGCCTCTCAACACATATCAAAGCCAATTTCCTGAAATGAGAGTAAGAAAATATATATCCTCATATTTAATAATTTATCCACATTATTTTAAATACAGTATTTATATAATTTCTATTCATTTTTTTTCAGAAAAAAATAGACAAGCGTGGACGAAAGTTGGTAGACTATGATGGCCAGAGGCATAGCTTCCAATCACTTCAGTGCAATCCAAAGAAACGTGATGAAAGTAAAGTGCTGAAAGCAAAAGAATTACTGGAAGAAGCTAAACGGACTTATGAACAACTTAACTCGGAACTTCATGATGAATTGCCAGCTCTCTACGATTCACGTGTACTTTTTCTGGTCACTAATTTACAAACTCTTTTTGCCGCTGAACAAGTATTTCATGTGGAAAGTGCCAAGGTACATCATTATAATAGAAAATGTGAAAAAATCATGAAAACTCTAACGTTCACTATCAACCGCAAATATCAATTATATTATATCTTTCTAGGTATATTCAGAGTTAGAAGCAATAGTTGATAAATTAGCTAATGAAAGTCAAAGAGGGTCATACACGCTAAAAAAAGCTTCTGAACCTCAGAGTCCAAGATCTCCTAATGCTAATTCATCGTAAGTTTTATTCCTGTTGCAGCAATAGTTTTGTTAAAGTTGAGCATTCTTGTTTTTCAAAAAAAAATATAAACTTCTATTTTATTCTTTTTAGATTGATAATAAATACACAATCGCCAGCACAGAACAGTATTTCACCTGGTAACGTTTTATTATTAATTTTTTTTTCTGTGAATTGTTAATTAACAGCATGCATTATATTAAATCCACTAATTCTTATGGATCTCTTTGAGATTATCGTAAGAGAAATCGTTAAGTTTTGAGTGTTGTTTGTCGCGTGTTCCAGCTCTTGACGAAAAGATAAGTGAAGCCAGAGATTCATCACCTACGTCTCAATTAAACGGCAATGCAAATAGTAATGCTAATAGCAATGATAACTCAAGCAATAACCAAGATTTGACGTCGCAAAATGCTGTACCACCTGCTAAAAGAGTTGAAGAATTATACGACATACCTGTAGGTAAGTATAAGACTAGTAAAGTTGAAGGAGTAAACAACTTAAGGATCAACAATTAGTGAGGGACCTCTACTTGAAATTTATTGCAAGTCGTTATTTGTTTTCAATTTGATTACTTATCGTGTTTCTTTGATAATGCTTTAGCTTCGATTATCCAAGAGTTAATAACAACTAGTCTTGGATGACGAGTCTTTCAATTATTTGTATAATTGCTACGGCATGAATGTTGAATTTGTTTTTGTTTATATATTTTCTAAGTTTGTCTGAAAGATCGAATAATAATAATAATAATAATAATAATAATAATAATAATAATAATAATAATAATAATAATAATAATAATAATAATAATAATAATAATAATAATAATAATAATAATAATAATAATAATAATAATAATAATAATAATAATAATAATAATAATAATAATAATAATAATAATCTATTGTAAAATATTAAGAGAAACCTTTCAGTTATGTCTTAAACAGTCAATTACAAAAAATATTTATGATATAGGTCCATCGCTAATAGTAAACATTGAATAATTTTTAGACGTGGATTATATAAATGGTACGAATTTGTCTGTAGGAGCAACTACTGAAAACTTGCCTCCGGGTGTTTTATACAGAGTTAAAGCGACATACAAGTATGGACGAGAAGATGTGGATGAATTATCATTTGATGTTGGTGAGATCATTCGAGTTGTTGAATATGATGATCCTGAAGAACAGGTTTGTCGATATAAATTTTATCATAATATTATTAGAACTTATACCATTTAAAATAATAAGAAATTTGTTATTTTTTAACATCAACTTTGACAAATATATAAACTTCAATATTTATCATATGGATGATTTGTTAAATTTTCTAAAAAAAATCAACTCAATCACGATTCATAAAAAAAATTTATTTCAAATACTTTGGAAAATATTAGTTTGAGGAAAGTTAAACTAAAAATCCATTTTTTATTTTAAATAATCGATTGGATGAGTCTAACAAATATACTTTTTTACAATGGCTAAATACAGACATAATTACCTCTACCTTCACGTTCTCATGAATTACTTTATTAATAATTTTTTTTTTTACATATTTTTATTATTTTTATATGTATATGTAACAAAAATTAATTTTTTATAAACTGATTCAGTCAACTTCATAATAGTTTAAAATATTTTTAATGCATTTAATAAAAAAAATAATCTGATTATAAAAATGAAAAAGAATTTTGTGACTTTCAAAATAAACTAATTTATAAACAACAAATTACATATGCTTACACTTTTTTTAATGTATAAAAGTTAATAATTGATATATATTTTAATTACAGGAAGAAGGTTGGCTTATGGGTATAAAAGAAGGAACTAATGAAAAAGGAATGTTTCCAGCAAACTTCACAAAGCCACTATGAGCATGATGCTCAGTTTTAATACGTATACTATAATGCTCATGGTAACTGCATATTTCACTAAATACTAAACATAAACATGGATTGCGCATTTGTAAAAGATAATTGTAAGAATTTCGTAATAACATAAATTGAAATTGGAAAACAATCGAAAATAAAAATAAATTCATAGAAAAGATGGAATTTACAAAAAAAATAAATAAAGAGGATAGTAATTGCTAAGGACTGTTGCGAGTGATAAAACGCAAAGTGCCTTAATTCAGCGCAAAATTTGTGCCAATTTTCATTTTTTGTGTAAAATTGGTCCATTCATAGTGATTATAAATATAAATTGATAAGATATCGAAAATTCATCGAAGAATATATTTAAATCTTATTGTATTTATACGATAGAATAATAGAATACTTGTGTCTGTCATGCCCGATTTTGTAAATTACTATGAATGGAAAATGTGAAAAAATCGATTTTATCAAGTATTATTTTAATTTCATTTTTAAAAACAACTTCATATGTATTTTTGGTATTCTATTTGTTTACAGTTATTTTATAAATTTCAGAATTTTTTTTATTTTGTAGTTACTATCATCAATTGATCGTTGTTAAAACATATTATCATTCGTTTAGATATGAGAGAACTTTCTTCAGTCAGCCAAAATATTCTTACAGCGTGAATAATGTAATGAATTAATATTATTTTATTGAACTGTATATAGATAAGAAAATTGTAGAACTATTTTGTGAAATATCTTTACAGTCATCAGACAACTATATTATTGTCAATAGACATTTTGTTAAATTAAAATTCTTATCAACTTTTTCATAGTTACTTGATTTTAATGATTCGGCTGAAAGCCTACTTTATGAATTAATCAAGTATATCATACATAAAAGATGTAATGTGTTTAATTTTCTTAGTTTAAATAACTTGATGAAATTATTTAGTAATATGTGCTCAAAACTGATAACAGATGATAATAATGTAAATATATATTTTAAATCTGTAAGCAATATTTCATATTATTTCATCTGTTGCTGTCGAAAGTTTAAAATTTTTCAATTCATTAATCTAATAATTATTGTATGATGAAATCATTTAATCAAAGGGTGATTGAAATAAATAAACATTTTATTGAGTCTTACTAATAAATTATAAGAATGATTTTTTTGTTTTTCTATATTTATGCAAGTTAATTGTAATATAGGATAAAACTCGATAAATTGATCTTCTGATAATGCAGATAACATTGATTATTATTACGAGAAATGCAAACATTAACTGTAGGTTTATATTGTTTACTAATAATAATTTGCAGGTAGATAGTAGTTCTGCATAAGAATTATTTTTAATTGTTATTAAATACTCCCGACAAATTGATCTGTTTAAATTAATTATGGTAATATATTCTTTATATATAATGGATACATTCTGATGAATATGCTCTTGCATAAGTGTGTGTTTTATCATTATCGATATTTTATCAATGCAAAAAAGTTGAAATTATTAATGAAGGAATGTTTTCTTTCATTTTTTTACAATTATACTTTATTGTTTATTATTTAGATTTTTGTGTCATTATAATCTATGTTTGACGAAATACGAAAAATTTGGTCGATATTCTTTTGTCATTCAATTCCGATTATTATAAAACATTATATTTTATTAACAAAAAATGCAATATATTATAATGAGGTGAATTAAACGAATTATTAATGCTTGGCAGTAAAAAAATGAATGTTTGAAGATAATTTTGATACGAAACGTTCTAAATTTAGGGTTCAATATCGACAAACTTTATGTATCAGTATAACATTTGTTGTTATGTCATTTATTATTTCTATGTCATGTTATTTAATTATTTAATTTTATTTGAGAATTATAAGTCATATTTCCATAATCTTAAAATAAAGTGTTAATCATACTATCATAATAACAATTATCGCTATTTTGTTTTCTTTTCTTTTATTGCTTTTATTATATTTATATTATAAACATAAATAGATAAAACTTTATAATAACGAATATTGATGTGTTGATAATCATTTCTAGCTTGGGCAAAAATAATTATACAGTATTTTTCATGTTATAAACTAAAGCACATTTATCTAATGACGTGTAAGTATTCTAACTAATTAGATATGTGATACGGAAATGTTAACAGGAAAGAATGTAGTGTGCAATTATTAAATTTTACTTGTTAAATTCAGGAATTCCGTTATCTATTTGAAATGACAATTAACTTGATTATGTTTAAGTATTATTGCAAAATTAGAGAAAACCTTCAATTAATAAATATTTGAAATAACTGATAATTTTTTGCAATCTGTTTTTGCAAACAGTTGATGAGTTGTTTAACTATATCATATTAGTCAACAATAAAATGACCATTTATTACACTGTAAGTTAAAAAAATTTCTACGTACTAATAAAGTAAATGACCATATTTTCTTAATAATTTGTAAAATAATCCTTAGCTTAATTTCTATTTCCAATCATGTTCAGATTCATAATTTCAATGAATTTCTACAAATGAAAATTTCCATAAAATATTTTTTAAGTACATTTATTTTGAAATATTTGCCTCAAATGAGTTTATCTTAAACACACTAGCTGTGAAATATTGAAATAAATGACAGATTAAAAAATGTAAAATTATTTCTAAAGTATAAAATAACTTTTGTTGATAAGGAATAATCGATTATTTTTACAGTCAGATATTCTATTTTTGCATTGGAGGTCATTGTGAATTCATGTGTACAAATTGTGAAAAAGTGTGAAGCCCTATACTAAAATGATAATCTTTTTAGAGGTAATGATGAGGGTTCCGTTTGTTAATGAATATTTTTTGCAACCTATCACGTGTTAAAGACTTTAATTTTGATGTTTTTCTGACAATCCTTGAGTCAATTGTAACTGTGGCATTGATACGTAATAATACGACGTAAATCAGTAAGACCGAAAAAATAAGCATTCGTTTTATAAATAACGTTTTTTATAAAAATAAGTTTATTTTCGTGTTATGATGTAGAGTAGAGTCCACATTAGAATTTAAAGAATGTTGAATTAAAAAATTTGAACGGAAGTAGTGATTAAATGCGCACGCATCGATAGTTAACACAAGTAGTATGGCGCTAGTAATCACAGAAGAAGAAAAATAGTGTGAAAAATAATGCCAAGTGGACCAACCGGAAGCTGAATTGATGAGAAAGTATGAGAAGAAGAATACGTCTAGTATCAGGGTGAAATAGAAAAGGCACGAAAGGAACTAGAAGTGTTGGCTACTAGGGAAAAGTAAATAAAAAGTGTGTCGTTGATACATATGGTGGAGGTTAAGTCGCGTATGAATGTGTACGATAGTGTGGTGTAGTGCGCGCGACGGTAGCAGAACAAGAGAGATTAGAGAAACGACAAGAGAATAGGAAGAGAAACGTTGGACGCCATCTTGTGATAGGCGGTTACCGTGGAGTGCAGAGACACCGTGGAGCGAGTCTACGGTATAGAAGAAAAAAAGTAGCTTGTGAGTAACTCGCGTATCACGCGTACGGGAATATACTCAAAAGAAGAGGTTGACGGAGCAATAGTTGCCTGATGGATAGAAAAGATCAAAATAATAGGATCGTAGTCAGACAGTACCGGGAAGTGGGTTTAAACGTGTTCACATCGTGAGAGAGGGAAGAAAAAGCAGACCCGGCTGAAGAGGAGGGTTGAAGGATAACACGAAAAGAAAGAGAAAAATATAGAGTGCGCACACGATTCTAACACCTACAGAAAATAGCATAGGTGAAAGAGACGAACTGTAGTTCGTTTCATCATTGAGTGTACTGTTCTAATATTCGAATAATTGGCTAGTGGTAGTTTGTTCTGACGAGCTCTTACATTCTCCGTGCCTTCTCCACAGGCGGGTGGAGCGGCCGGTACGCGATTTTAATCTGGTTAGTGGACACGTGCGCGCCGCGCGACTACTCCAGTCAGGCTTCGCCAATCTGGTTTGGCTAACAAGATTCGCGTGGACGCGTGGGTTGATAAAACCCGGCGCACGATATCGCCAGCTCACGATACTACTTTAGCAGCAGAAGAAACGAGAGAAGGTGCGAATGGTTTTATTTATTAAGTTACAGGACGTGACTTATTTTTTTATACATATAATTCCATTCACGGACGTGTGGAATCAGTGATTTTGTTTTCTGACACTCCCCGATTTCCTATACTCTGCTTTTGTTGCTATTGCTGCATGGTGCTGCTATTACTACTGCTTATCATTTCCCCTGTGATACGTGCAGTGAATAGAGAGGGAGATTCCGGAAAACGAGTGGGAGAGTGCCTGTAGTCTGAGCGAAAGGGCGAGTATGTTCGGAGCAGTACAGTGTTCAAGCGAGAAAGAAAGAGAGAGGGAGCAAATGGCTGAGTGAGACAGAACTAGACGGCGTGAGTGAGAGCACGGTGGGTTACCACACCCAACCGCGCCGGGAGCCAAGTGAACGAGAAGCAGAACATACGCGACAGGGTGAGGGACCCAAAGACCACCGGGTGGTCATCGGGTCTCACCGAACAGTTTTTAAGTGTTGCATTTCACTACTCTTCACTCCAACAATTTGTCTCATTTCCTTCATGTTTTCGTCTGTGACGGTGATTTAACTAAGAGTTCTCCTTTAAATACTCATTAATGATCGTGACTTGACGTTATACTTTTGATGTAGTGTTCGAGCAAATGTTCGCAAATGGTCAAGTTATATTGCCGTATTAAATAAATCAGAAATATCGGAAATCAAACTTCTATCATTCTTTCATAATTTCACAAACGACCAGACAAAACGTTTACACATATATTACGCGGTGAAAATACGCGCGCGCTTACTTAATTCCTCTTTCATCATTCTCATTATCTATCGCTTGTTCGCTTACATTATATGACACATATAAATAAGTGAATTAATTTTCAATACAAGTGCAAGTTCAACAGTAATTGCACTAATAGGTCAAAAAATATCGTCCTACATCCGTCCGTCAAAGAGCATTTGATTTTTTAAATAAATGTATTTGTTTTTTGCTTAGTGATTGCCTTCTCTCGTGCACGCGGGTGATTGATGTATCATCAAGGTGTATTTCTGCTGAGTGAAGAAGCCAATTCATCAGTGAAAATATATTGTTAAAATAAACATAAAGTGAAACCGATAGCTAAGTGAAGTGAAATAGTGTTCAGGATAACCAAGTGCACTGCTGGCAGTTGCAATAACGACGACAACGTTGCTCATCACCGTGGCATCAAGATAATATCGGCCGAAACGAGGCAGCCGAGCAGCAGCCGCCTCCTGCCTGCATCAAACGCTTGGCAGCTGAGCAGGCATACTCTATTCGCGAACTCGCGCTACCTCTTTTTTTCCTCCCTCCGAGGATTTTGCTGCCCTAAATCATGGCGTGCTGTCTGTCGGAAGAGGCTAAGGAACAGAAACGAATCAACCAAGAAATTGAGCGGCAACTTCGGAGGGACAAACGAGATGCCAGGCGGGAACTTAAACTTCTGCTTCTTGGTAAATTTATTTTTCATATTTCAACTTGTACATTTCATTATACTTAATTATTTATTCACTTTCATTATCGAACTGTTTATCTAACATCAATCTTATATTCCGCTTCAGCTGTTTTATTTCATACATTTTTCAGTATTTATAATGGTTTTACATTTTTTTGCTCCAAAATATTTTATCATCAAAAAATTCAAGTTGTTCATTGTGCTCTTTTTATTATGGATTTTATAGATTATTTTTGAAACTGAAAAAAACAACTGTTGATTCATTTAATTGTTCTAGATATTTTAATCACATCAGAAGATGTTTTATTTACAATTAGATCATTTAACAATTCTAACGACAATGAATTAATTTGTAATCAGTAGTTTTTCTCTCAATTTTAATATCATACCTGAAAATATTGCATTTAGTTCATATTATCACTTTTTCTATCAATTAGTTCGATGAATAGAAATATTCTTTGTAGATAATTTTTATAAAGGTTATTATTTATTAGTGTATACTGATTTACAATTAACAAATTCCTATATAAGATTCAAAATTATTTAATTATACTTGAAAAAAATTTCTGCATCATCAATTCTATTGAATATACTTCATCCATCGATAATGAAAGAACGTGAAACAACGGTGTGTTTATTTGTATAAAATTCTGACCACGTGCCTTTGAGATTATGATTCACGTGGGGTTGAATAGTTTTGTGAAACACATGTGCTTATATTATTGGATTAAATCCGAGTACTTATACTCTCTTTTCTTATTTTAACTTACAATAGAAAATTTGAAAGTTTAAATTTCAATATTTTTGTATGAAAAGAACTTTGAAATTAGTCATCTTTTGGAGTAGTACTCTTCAGATGACTAATATTAACCAATGATAATAATTTTCGATTTTATTGTAATAAATTATTATTAACTTCCCATTAGGAAGTTATTGTAATTGGGTCGATTGGTGAAGTTTAAATTTTTAATCATATCTCTACGTTTCAAGATATTTGCAAGCATGCTGACATATTTTTAGAATGATGTGTGTACGTATGTATGTATGTACGGACGTCAGCATTTTTTTCGTTTTCGATATCTTAAGAACGGATCAAGACATCAACTTCAACCAAAATTAATTCGAAAGATATTATTATAAAGAAGATCTGAAAGAAATTTGAACGAATTCGATAGAGCCGTTCTTTTTTTATAACAAAATAACTAATAAGAAAATGAAAAGATTAGCTATTTAAAATACTTTTAAGCCAAACAATAACAATTTCATTTGAAAATTAAGTCGATATTGACTAGACATTATTGTTCACAACCAAATATGACTCTTAACAATTACGCATTGTTTATAACAATATGAATTTGTTATAAACAATTGAAAATTGTATTTATCGATTAACTGATGCGTATATCACATGGATTCGGATGTTTTCAATAAAATAATATTATTAATGATGAAATATGACTCGTAAAAATTACATATTGTTTATAACAATACGAATTTGTTATAAACAAATAAAAATTGTATTTATTGAATAAGTAATGTGTATATCACATGTATTTGAATGTTTTCAACAAACATTGATTACAACTATTTAAATTTGTTATAAACAATTACTAATGGGAAGTTCGTCGTGTTAGCACAGACAAAGTGTGCTCAGACCTATTTTTTTTTTTACAGTATCTTTTATTATTTGAAAAAATAAGATAACAATTAATTGTTAAGCTTTTGAGTTTTCTTTATTGGGTATTAGAGACAAAACTCATTGAAATTTAATATGCTTAACCTTGCAATTTAGTTGTAAATAATTATTTAACCAAACTGATACATTGGCACCATCATGTGCTATAAGTAATGATTTTTTTAAACACTTATTAACTTATATTATGAATTGATTATTCTAATTATGCTTGAAAAAATTACTTCTATTAACAAAGTATGAGTAAAAAATGCTTGATAACATTTGTTTCTAATTTCAATATACTTAATATTTTTACCTTCATCCAAAGTAACGTAAATCGATATGTAAAATTGTTTTCGGGAATTATCCTTCATAGATGATTTACTAACATTTTTAAAAATTCATTAATTTGTAAAAAGGCATAGCAAATATCGCAGTTTTAAGGTGAAATTAAATACTATTGGAATCAGTTGTAGTAGTAGTAAATCATTTATTTGAATTGTATGCCAAGTATTGCTCGGCGTTTTACAATACTTCCGCCTTGCAAGTTTACATAAAAGAAAAAAATTTTTACATAACAAATAACAAACAGTAATATATAATTAAATTAAATCACCCTTCAACCATTCACCACTTTTACACTCATTCCAGAGCAAGTTGATAACGCTCATCCTCAACGGCATTACACTCCTCCCTCGCACTCCATCCCTTTACGTTATTCCTTATTTATTTATTTTCATTTTTATTTTTCCTTTTATTATTTTTGCTTTTCACTTCTTACGTTACATCTCTCATTCTTTGTTCTACTATCTTTGGTTTGATTTCCTCCCAATTTGCGTTTTTATCACTTTCTCACTTTAGAACTTTACAAACTTCCTCTCTCACACCTTCTCATTCATGTTACATCTCTTATCGCTACTCTCTCTTTGTTTCACTCCTGCTTTACACACTCATTTAGTTCTGCTTTTTGGTGCAACTCTTATTTATTCACTGCCCCCCCCCATTTTCTCTATAGCCAGTTTTTTACTTTCCTCAATTCTGATTAACTTTTTATTGGAATCAGTTGTATATTTTACCTAAAATTATAAAAATGATGTAACTATTAAGTAATAGAGAAGGCAACTTTTAATTAAAAAACAAATAATAAATGCAAATAATAAAATTTATGACGAAAGTAGAAAACAATATTACCCATGTATAATACACACACTGGATGAATATGTCAACTTAGGATTCTATTGTATTGGCATGTTTTCCGTAATTTTTTATGCCCTAATTGCTGTTATCATAGCATTAGCAATTAGTGTGAATCTCTCGCTAGTGGAAGTCAGTAAGCTAATGGTAGCGTTAAACGCACTCGAGAATAAATAGTAAAACGTTAAGAAGTTAATTAAAAAGAAATAGGGTAAGCTTACAAATTTTTATAAAAACAAGAGATAAAAAAAGTACCGGGTTATTATTATTCTCGAAATGATGGATATAAAGTTGAAGCCTTTATATGTAAAAAATTGTTTGTGTATATATAATAAGAATTGAACGTCGCGGATAAATAATTTCTAAATTTACTTATTCCAATGATTGAACACTGTAATTTTTACTACGATTTCATTTCAATAAATTTTATTTTTTAGTCCAGAAAAAATAGTATTAGATTTACTCTAAAATAGAATAATTTTTGTCATTGTTTCATAAAAACTAAAAAATAGCATTTTAATGGATAGAGATGAAAATATTAATACAAAAACTGTAATTTAAAACTTTCATTATATCATTTTTAATACTGTAATTTTAGTTTAAGGTAAAAGTACCAAATACCGACCATCTAAGGTTTTTGAAGTTCAATTTGATTATATTGAGAAAATGAGAGTAGAAAATTCAAATTAACCGATACTTTTGATTTCAAAAAAGGTCAATGAATCGTTATTCATTATTGTTGATAACTTTTATTGATGAGCAATATTTAAAAAAATATTTTTAAGTAAGTCCTTCTCAAAACTTGACAATGAGCCCATTAACGACCACAAAACTGCCCGTTTCCATACACCGACCATCCATAGCCCGAATACCAACCAGGACCTTTTTTGAGTTAAATTCTTTACATATCAATTTTGATATCTAAGAGTTCACAATCAATTCACTGATAACAACTAGTCAATTTTCAAGTCAGTCACCAATATTTATCAATTTACAAATAGTAAAAAAATAATCAACTCTCACTGATTCAATAGTCCACTTAAAATTCGTTTGTAGAACACTTAACACTTTTGATTTAAATATGCTTCCGCGAATGTCATAGAACAAATGATGAAATTTTTCTGCTCTACTTCAAGAAAAAGATTTTCAAATTATTTTTTAAGTAGTAGGGGATAGGAAAAATTTATAACATGCATTTTCATTGGTTGAAGAGATGACAAAAAAATGCCGAAAAATTTCCCAAGTACAGTCGTGGCTATTCATAGTAATGTAAAATTAAGAAACTAAGGAACGAAATGAAGAAAAAATTGTCTGCAGAAATAAACTTAATCTTTGAAAGACGCGTGGAAATTTCACTTCATTAAATATATTAAATGTAATGTTCATATAGAAAAACGCTTCTAGACATAGGCCGGTCGCTTTACGGCCTACTATAAACATCTGACCGCCCGGACGAACACTGTCTATGTTCAAAAAACACAATTTTTTGTGTCAAGTTTAACAATAAATAGAAACACTTTTTCTAGGTCGTAAATTGGCATACGGTTTCTTTATGCAATATTAAAAATAAAAAATAATCTAATTTTAGTATTGTTCTAACAGATATATAATTTTTTAATTTTTTTAAGCAACGTTCGAATCGCCCCTATACTGACCATTGGTCGTTATAAGGAAAAATCATGATTCTAATGATGCCTATTTCCGACCACAATATTTTATTAATTTTCAACTAAAAACATTATCAGTTTCGAATAGTAAATTCTTCCTCAGTGACTTAATAGTAAATCAACCCAAAATATTCATAACATCAACTATTAATAAATTATATATGAAATTATCGCATTTTCTTTTAGAGGTCCATTTTAAGAATTTCGACGATTAAATCTGTAGAAACGGGCTTTTGTCAACTTGAGTATTTTTTTTTAAATATAAAAAAAAAAATTATCAGGATTTTTAGGGCAGGAAATGATAATTATATAATTAATATACGTATTTCATATAGAAAAATATATCTATAGACCTTTTTTAATTAGATATTCACGAATAAATTTAATGGTTGGGTTTAGGCACTAGGTCGGCAATAGGACACTTTCCCTTAAAACAAAAGTTAGAAAATTTTAATTTACACC